CAGATTAATGGTTACAATTGGTGACTTCCATGTGACAGAAAACAGCAAGGCATTTATCATGCTACTTTCATAATTTTAATATTTGTATTTGAATTTTAAAGTAAAAGAAGATTAATTATTCTTTGAACTTAATTAATACCATACCTTGGCATCCATCGGGGAGATAAGGATTCCCTTGGTAACCTTGCAGGCAATTGCAAAGATATCCAGGACCATTTGTGGAGTTTGTACAATATGTGTTGCTCCCGCAGGCATAAGTAGTCGCACTTCTTTGTGCTTCCTCGCAACTCTGGTTTCTAAGTATTGCCCAGTCCAGAATTATGGAAGTGCTGATCCCGACAGTTAGAAGGTGTTCAACATCGTTTCTCATCTCCCAGAGCTGTGATACTTGTGAGTCAAATAATGAATCCTGCTCGTCGGACAGAAGAACACCCAACCCACATCTACTAATATTCCTTGTGTATTCGAAGCCGTTACGGCTCCCTATGCTTACTAAAAAATCATTAAGATCGTTTGGTATGGTTGTCTGGCAGCAACCAAAGCCACCGCAAGATGAACTAGCTGTCACTTCTGTATCGTTCAAGCATGAAGATCGACAATCCACATAGAACACAGAGTCCTTGTAATCATACAGTTTGCCATACGTGTCGCAACCGACTGCCATGAATCTGTTTCTGGTATTGGAGAGCCTGTATGTGTTTGGAAAAGAATAACTTACGCTTACACGTTCACCCGTGTAACATATTACGCTTCCGAGAATGGAAGTCGTTAGTTGATGAGCAGCAAGTGATATATGGAGAATGGTATGCTCATCTCCGTCATAATCGCCATAAAACGTCAATTTTGGAGGAAGGATAGCAGTGTTGCAGAATAACTTGAAGTCATCATTTTTGAAACAGGTTGGATCATCTCCCACTAGGCCAAACGGGTATGGGATGCTAACATTCCCACATTTTCTTTGGCAGCCAGGCCTTGTATCTGGCATTGTCAAAGTTGCTGTTATCGAGTCATCATTTTCTCATTTTAATTTCCTTTTTTCATTCAAGTTGAACAAATTAAACATAAAAGCATTACACAACAAAATATATATTAATTTCCATAAACTCATTACGGGATAAGCCATTGAGCAAATATATTCGGTGAAGCTTTCTTCATCAAACGTTAATGAAAACAAATTCCTCAATCGAAACAAACAACCCATAAACACATACAAGAATATCTTATTATAATATTCTTCAAGCTTAGAGCCGAAAACACTGCAGGGGTGAAATTTGTATATCCAAGCCATAGCAATAGGTGGTTTAGTCTAGAGTAGTAAGGATTGCTTGGCATCCATGGAATACCTTGGCATCCTGTTAAATAGTGATATTTCAAGCAAAATTCATAGAAGAGTGAAAGAAGTCATACCTTGGCATCCATGGGGGAGGTAAGGATTCCCATGATAGCCTTGCATGCATTGGCAAATATATCCAAGGCTGTTGTTGGAGATAGAGCAGTTGGTGTTTTCCCCGCATGCGTAATTTCTGCTTTCTTTTTCACATGTCCTGTTCGCATTTGATCCGTCCAATTCTATGCATACAAATTAATGTTTTTAAATTGCAAGCTGTTTATTTTTAGATTAAGAGAAAATTAAAAATTCAGATGGCTAATGTAACCAATCCATGATCTGAGGCTCTGAGCAAACTGTTAATTAGTGATGAGCAAATGGGAGATTCAAATAAATCCCCCTGCCCAACATGTCAATGATTCAGATTGGCGATATCAATGATTCAGTTAATCTTTACAAAAGAAAGGTCAGTTAATGATCCACCCTATGGCCCAGGAATTCCAATTTAAATTAGACTGTTTCATGTATATTTTTCCTCTCCCACGCCCACCTTAATGGTTGTCCCCTCAAGGGCCATCTATATTTATTCCACCCTCTGCCCCCAAGCGCCAAGCCAGCCTCATTTATAAAAAATTCCTAGTGAAGGAACTGGGTCCACATCATCAAGGAAATCCGTCAGAATTTGAAACAGGCCCAAGAAAGAATGAAGCTAGCGGCTGACCGCAGAAGCCAGAAAGCGCGAGCTTGAGCTGCAACCTAGTGACTGGGTTTACCTACAGCCTACAGTTATACCCATATTGTCAAACCTCAGTGACTCTAAACAAAAGACGCTACACTGGAACCCTGATTGTATGTGAGAGATTTAGATAAATCCCCCTGCTCAGCCGATCGATGATTATTCAGATTGGCGATATCATATGAGTGCTCCATCATTTCATTTCATTTATGGGATTTTTAGATTGCACTCCACGAATTCGGATTTAAATCGCACTCCATTTCATTTAAATGATAAAAGAACTATTAATGATGTAGTTAAAATCTCCCTCAACACCAGCTGACAGCACGTGACACACTTAAAATGACGTAGCTTAATCCAAAGCCTTAATAGCAGGCATTACAATCTCGGTCGAGCCTCTCCCATTTAATGACGTCCAATGTCATTAATGGCTAAATGGCCTCCCATTTATTGACGTCCAATGTCATTAAATCTCGGTCGAGCCATTATCAAATGTATACCACTCCCACACAAGGCAGACCTCTACCGTAAATATAGACTTATAGTTGCAAATAACTCTCTTATGCAATCCGAACCACTTAATTGCTCTAACATTTTCATCACCTCGGCTTCCTCAAATCCTTGGTCGATTTAACAGTTGGAGTACTCACCCTTGGATCACACCTCGAGGTCTCCGACGCCTTTTCAGTGCTTGCAAGTGAGACCTTCTGCCTCATCCCTACTAGAAATCCAGTACTGACCTTACTCCCATTTTTTGTTAGCATCAAATATAATTTGAGTTGAACCAAGCCATTGTTGTAAGAAGTTAGTCTAAATAAAAGCATACTGATCAAGAGTAGGGTGTCAATTGGACTAGATTTGGTCCAATCCAATCTAGTCCAATGTGAATTCATTATAAATGGAGCAGGTTCAATCCAATCCAATGATTATTTTGGACAATTTTGGATCAGTTTAATTCAATGTTTAGACCGTCCAATCTGTTCAAATTTGTTTTAATTAAGATTAATT